TAGTCATATCGAGTGTAATAGTGACGTCCATAGATTGCCCAGTGTTGGCGAACAATATCTTCAACAGACACAAGGTTACCTTCCCCAAGGTTGTCCTTATTCTTATAGGCAAGGATAGATAACCAAGCCAAAACAGCCCATATTCCATCTTTCTCTCGAATGTGGTCTGAGCCTGTGAAGAGATAATTAAAAAGATTTAATGCCTTTACATGTCCAATCTACTTGTATCAAATTAGATACAAGAATTAAGTCCAGAAAGCCAACCAGTTCCAAAACTTTCTTCTCCGCAAATTGAACACATTCCAGCATCCATCAAGTTACCAAAAAATTTCCAACCAGTGGGTACCTTAGCAAAGGCAATGGAAAACATAAAATTCAGCATGCCTTCAACCCTCCACCAACAAAAGATGAAATAAATAACATATAAATGTCAATGCAGCTATAGTACCTCAAAAAATTTCAAGTTCAGGTGTTTAGCAACTATATCAAGAGCAGCAGATGTGGGCATACTCCTGTAGAAAGATAAGCATTGCATCACATTAAATTCTGACAGATTTCATCACAAGATGAATTGCTCTTGAATAGAAATATTAACAGCATAACAATCATGTACAGCTTAGCTCGAAATGATACAGACCTGGCAACACCTTTCAAACCTCCAGAAAAATAAGGAATAGCTTGTACAGCATTGGCAGCAATTATAGCTACAGAGTCGGAAGGAGTCACAAAGAATCTACAAAATAAACAGAAAAAACAAAATTTAAGATGCAACTCAGGAAAGTGACTAGTTGTAGTTCAAAAAAGAAATCAACAAGAAGTTACCTTTTCCCCAGGACCATGTTACGGTCCCCATCTCCATCAGCAGCTGCCCCAAATTCTGGTGGATTGGGTTCAGAATGCGTTTTAGACAATCCCATACGTGCAACTAACTCCTTTGCATATGTCAGATTGGGATCGGGATGCCCTCCACCAAAGTCCTCCTATTAAATTAATCATACATGTCATAGAAAGAACA